TCGCTTCCAACATGGGACACTACAATTCGTCTCCCCTTGCCTGAAGGCTCTTTTAACCCAGTGGTTAACCCTTCTAAGAAAGCCTGACGTGATGATTTCACACTGGTGTCCACCCAGTGCTTATTCTCAGTATGACCTATTCGTCTATTATAAATGAAAAGTTACGATTCAACAAACCGTAGGTACAACACTGCACAAAAGAGCTGGCAACATTATTTGTAAATTTGACATTTGCATGTGTCAATTTAGTCTACGAGATTAAAAAACAGACTATAGGTAATAGCCGCTTTCAGCTTATCGGGTGTCCCACGACACCACACGGCTTTTTTTTTTATTGTCCATGAATAAAACATTTTTCAGTGTGACAACACTGACTCCTAGACTAAAAAAAAAACTAGCCCATAAACTTTTATTTAGTGTTTAATGTTACGTGCCAAATGTACTAAATTACCCATTACGATACAGGTGTCAGTTGAAACGTATGAAATGTTTATTTATTATTGCCGGACTTGTTAAACAAACACATCTGTTGATGTTTTATTAGATATTGACTATATATTTGTCTGTTTGTCTTTCTGTTAGTGTCTGTACCTTTTTTTATGTAAATTAAGTAATTACGTGTTCAGTTTTTACCAATACATATAAAATTACTAGTCCTGACTGATTCACCAACGCAGAGCCTAAACTAAGGGAGCTTCAAACTTCAAATGCTTTCAGTTGATGCTTTTTTATGTTGTAAGAACCCAGTAAGGAAGGATATTTGTAAAGTTCAACCCTAAGGTGGTAAAATAAGTTCGTCATTGAACAGGAAATAATTACGCGAACAAAGTTTGTTTACATTGTTACAAGAGAAGATAATGAAAGCTAAAATAATTACTTTTTTCATATTAGAGATGAGCAGACGGGTCACCTGATGGAAAGTATTTTTTATTTTTTTTATTTTCTCTCACACAGAATGACATATCTTGACATATTAAAGTAGATACACAGTTATAGGTGAGTTGAATCTGTGTGAGAGACTGGTATCTTTCATATTGAACAATAGTACTCTGTGCTGGTATCTGCACTAGGTACACCTGTATTACAGATTACCAGCCTCTAGCCAGACACTAGATGCGTAAGTGTTATCCTGTAGGTATAACTTGATTAGGTGAGAGCTAAAGCAAAGTGAAGTGAAGGAAAAATGTGTGTGTGTGTGTGAGGAAGGTTGAGTGTGTGAATAGAGGTAATAACCCTACAACGATGAAGATGATGGTGATCGGATGTGCATGATTGAACGTGATTTATAAAGGAAATACATGGCACTAATATGTGTAGATACGACTATACTTATACAAAAATAGATATATAGATCTTAGATAATTGTCTATTGCGGGACATATAACAGATTTTCCGTTTCCTCATAACTGAGTGTTTTCAGCCAGTCAGAAATAGCCCTTAAAAAGTGACCATCGCCGCCCATGAACGTCTGCAACTCAGGAGTCACAAACGCGTTGCCGGCCTTTTAGGAAAGAGTACGATATTTTCTTGAAGGTTTGAAGGTCGTACTTAAATTATATTGTAAGCAAATCCGAAAATAATACAAGTGTTATTGAAAGCCACTTAATTTTGTTTGTATATTGAGAAAAGAAGTTGGAATTTGAAATAGTTAGTCTGTTATCTTTCTGAAATGTGTTTAAAGTCAATAATATCTCAACTGACATGTTAATGGAACTATTTCTGGGAGTTTATTTTGAAGCTAGCACTGGGCGCTAATCAAATCTATCACGGACGAAGGTACTCTATAAACAGAGAACAATTAAAATACCATTCCTTACAAATAAACATGAAATAAATAAAACTATCCAAAAATAAAATCGAACACAGATTTTTTAAACAACTCAGTGTAAGAAAGCGCGGGAATTATGACGTAAGTTTTTTTTTTGTATCATGTTTTAACGAAGCACACATGTGGGTCTAAAAAAAGCCGGTCAAGTACGAGGCGGACACGTGCGCCGAGGGTTCCGTACCTACCCAGATTTTACGTAATTTTCGCGAAAATGTGCAAGTTCCAAAATTCATCTTAATTTTGAACATTTTTTTTTTTGGGATTATTCCTTTATTTGTGTTTGACGTTTCTTTTTGCCAAATTTCGTGATTCTAGTTCAACGGAAACTACCATATAGGTTTTCTACCCAAAACCTATTGGGTAATGCCGGTTGACCTAGAATTGTCAATTTTGGTTAAAAGCAAGGTCTTACAGCACAAGTAAAGAGTAAATTCTGAAAAATAAAAAAAAACTGAAAATTAGGGTACATTTTGGTACCTACAAGTTTTCGCGAAAATCGAAATTTGCCCATATCTCATTATAGTGTTGACTTTGATTTTTATACACTTAATAGGGACCATAGACCTCAGTATCTGGTATAAATTTCAACTTGCTAGGTCTACCCGTTCCTGAGAAAATCGGTGATGACACACGGACAGACGGACACACGGACTAGAAAGTGATCTTTTAAGGGTTCCTTTTTACTTTTGAGGTACGGAACGGTATGGAAAAAATGTATTTTTTTAATAACAACTCGACGCGGGAAAACTGACATAGAGTCTTTGCATCAGACATCACCGAAATCCATTAGTTTAAAAAGCTTGTCCGTGTGGTGACGGATTAAGAATACAGAGTGTCACCACCCCTATTCACCCTGTGGGTGTCGTAAGAGCCGACTAAGAGAGAAAACTACGCAGAACAACAGCACCGCAGAGAGAAGGAAACCTTGACATAAACCTTTTTTTTTTTTTTTTTTTTTTTTTTTTTTTAACGTGTGGAAATCCCCTCGGACCGTCACCCCTCCGGGGTTTGCGGCGGGGTGGTGTGTCGGACTCGGACCGACTAAAACCACACGGTGTGCCACTCTGCGCCTGTAACAGGAGGGATCCGGGAACAGCTGTTGTTAAGACATCCGGACCCCTCCTAGCGCCAGCCCGCTCCTGGTGCGGGCTCCGTCTCAATATATTTTTCTCTCTTTAGGCGACGTCCGGCACACGCGGACGCCGCCCCCTCGCGGCTGGCCAAACTAATGCGGGTGGAGGGGAAACCCACCCCGTCCACCCGCGGCCACACTCAGGGCGGCATGAGGCTGTGATAGGCGGGCCTCCGCCGCCCGGTTCGCCGGCGGCGGATCGGGTCCGAGTGGAGGTCGTCCTCCCGGGCCCTCTCCGCCGCCTCCTTCCGCGAGATTACTACCTCGCAGAAGGTTGCGACCGCGGTAAAACAACTGTCGCTACCGGCCATGGAGCGTACTACGGCCGGTAGCGAGAGATCCACTAAGATGACTGCAGTGAGGGCCCGGCGCTGCGCCGCCCATGCGGGGCAGACCGCCAGCGTGTACTGGGCCGAGTCCTCATTGCAGTCGCAGTGGTGGCAGGCGGGACTCAGTTCCCTCCTAGCGACCGAGTGCAGGTACTTTTCGAAGCAACCGTGCCCGGAAAGCACCTGCGGCGAAGCCAGCGCGTGGAGTCTCCAGCCGGAACGACCAACGAACCATCCTCGGGCGGAGGGCGAAATCCGCTCTCCGCCCGGGAGTCAGCCACTCGCCGATAAACTTCGGCGAGCACTTCCGCCTCCAAATCCCACGGGGGAGTTCCGGCCAACGCGCATGCCACCTCCGTCGAAACGGTGCGGTAACCGCGTATGGCTCTGACCGCCATTACCCTCTGAGGGCGCCAGAGGCGTACCCTATTCTGGGCGGTCAGAGCCGCCGCCCACACCGGTGCACCGTACAGTGCCATTGACCGGACAACCCCCGTGTACAGCCGTCTTGTCGCGACGCTGGGTCCACCCATATTGGGCAAAAGTCGCCCTAGGGCAGACGCAGCGCCGACCAGCTTTGGAGCAAGCTGTCGGAAGTGCTCGTCGAAGAGCCACCTCCCGTCGAGGATCAGGCCCAGATATTTCATCTGGGCCCGAACCGGTACGAGGACCGAGTTGACCACGATTGAGGCGCCAGGGGGTGGACCACGACGGGGCCCATGAAATAACAGGGCCTCCGTCTTATCTAGGGCCACCCGTAAGCCCAGCGCCTCAATGCGCCCGACCACCAGGGAGACTCCCCCTGTGGCCAGGCGCGCCGCCTCTTGGAAGTTTGCCCCCCGGGCTGTCACCAGGGTATCGTCTGCGTAACAGATTACACCCAGCCCGGGGGGGAAATCGGCGCGAAGGGCCCAGTCGTACCCTATGGTCCACAAGAGGGGTCCAAGAACAGACCCCTGTGGAACACCGCACGACATGGGCCGACACCTCAAATTACCTTCTCGGTCCTCGTACACGACGGTACGCTCCTCTAAATAGTCTGCCACCAGCCGCCTCAGGTACTTTGGCACCCCATGATAGTGGAGTGCTTCCCTGATGCAGCTGAATGGCAGACTATTGAATGCGTTGGCGATGTCTAATGACACCGCCAACAGCACGCCGCCACAGCTCACGGCCTCTTCGGTCACGGCCCTCAGGCGCAACACGGCGTCGACTGTCGAACGCCCCGCCCGAAAACCAAATTGGGCGTCCGACAGATCGGGGCCCACCTCGCAGAGGTGCCGGACGATGCGGGCAGAAAGAACCCTCTCAAACAATTTACCCGCCTCGTTCAGCAGCACGATGGGCCTATAGGCCGCGACCGAATCGGCAGGCCGTCCCGGCTACATAAACCCTATACCAACCCGTCTGGCCAGCGTGGTATAGTAGGCCAAAACCTCCTTTCTAAGGAGAGGCCTATGTCCAGCAGTGGACTATTAAAGACTGTTGATGAAAAAGCTTGTTGTGTAATGAAGTAGAGAGAGATTACTTAAACTGTCATTAAAATTTATGAATTATTTTTCTTTTCAAGCACATTTTGTTCAAAAACGTTGACTTCGTGCACCACTTCTTCATATAAGCATTAACTATTCTGATTATGTTACGTTAAAAAAGTGATCCAAAAAATTTCTTTTAATATAGATTCTGTTTAAATAAGAAAATGGCTACCAACCTTGTCTGTCAGAGAAGTGATGTGAGCCGACACTGACTCCTGGCGCGTCGCTGTTCGAGCGCTGATGCACGCTGCCGCTGCTACCAGCAGCAAGAGTTGAAGAACCCTCATTCTGCAACAAGAAATAATCAAAACAATTAAAACTAGTCTAATAATAATCATCAAAATTTCTAAAATAGACGACACAAAATGGCTGACCAAGCGTCAAACGGAAAAAGGAAACCATAAATTATCTCATAAAGGAAAAAAACAGGAAAAAACGTGCATTATTTCGTAACCAGTTTACTAGTTACGCGCACACATACGAACGTACATTAGTAATTTTCCTAGGAATGGTCCTTACCTCACCTTGGGTTAGTCATAATGGAAGGTAGGTAGATTACATTACTCAGGGATGGCTCTATGTGATGTTTTGTGTTATTGTGTAAATGTTTGAGTGTCATAAGAGGCGACTAAGGGAGCAAACTACACAGGACAACAGCACTGCAAAGAGAAGGAAAACTTTATTGAAAAATAAAGATATTAATATATTAAGATTATAAAGTCACAGAACAAATTATTGAACTTATTACACAATTCGTTAAGACTGGCCTGTTAGTGGTTAGTGACCCTGTCTGCGTAGGTTCGATGGCCACCCAGGACTCTATTGTGTGTTGAACATGATCATTTGTTGTAGTACTTGGGTGTAATTTATCTATATATGTGTGTATTTAGTAATATAGACGACCGTGTGTGAGATGTATGACATAAGAATCATCATCATCATCAACAGCCTTTAACAGTCCACTGCTGGACATAGGCCTCTCCTTAGAAAGGAGGTTTTGGCCTACTATACCACGCTGGCCAGACGGGTTGGTATAGGGTTTGTGTCCAGTTTTCCTTCTCTCTGCAGTGCTGTTGTTGTGCGTAGTTTTCTCCCTTAATCGGCTCTTACAACACCCACGGGATGTATAGGGGTGGTGACACTCTGTGACATCAGAGTAATTACTTTTTAATTCTAGCTCAACAGTTAGGATTGCTAATCACTAGTCCGCACGGCCAGAGTGTTACGATAAAAACTTTTTACTAAATCAATGGCCGTGAACAACTATTACAACTGGCAACCCTAGTTATGACTTAACCAACAAGAAACAAACTCATAATATGATAATTAAAAATAATCAGAGCATTGGTCTTTGTTGTGAGATATTACGTGTCTAAATTATGAACTCATAACACTGTATCGTAAGACAGATCAAAGGCAGAATGATATCATGATTTAAAGCATTTTTTTTGAGTCAAGAAACTCGTAATAAATCTTTTAATTTAACAAATCTAAGAAATCATATAGGGTATAAATGTTCCGTGATGCCTTTTGAGCCAATGCGGGAAAACGGTGTGCTTCGGAGAACACCTGTGTCTGACCACTGCGATGGTCGGACCGTGGACACTACGCTCCACACGCTGGCAGAGTTGGAATTCTCTCGCTCGGTAACATGATGGCAGCCATGGAGCGAGAATGCGTGGAACTCCGCCGTCTCCTTCAAGTAAGTTATGCTTGCAAAGGAAATGGCGGAGCGGGACCGGGAGAGGTTTAGAGGAACGGGCCAGGTACCGCAGGCAACTCAGAACTACCTTCGTCCTCCAAAAGCGGAGGCCTGGGGGTGGTAGGTGAGGCCATTTGTTACCCTAGCAGAAGCAGGCCGGGGTCGTGGCGAGACGCGCTAGATGGCCCGCGCTACACGCCGTAGATGGCCCGAGGTAAGTCGGGGTATCAGGGATTTCCTTCCTAGGTGTACCCTGGTTCCGCGGTAACTGGTACCCGAGACATGTTAATAATAATGAAGTATTTGGATTTGTCCCACGAGATTGTAATCATGTGAAATGTGAATTCGGCAATCACTGTACCTATAGTCTAGTGGTCAGTTAATCTGTCTGCTAAGCCAGAAGTCTTCGGGTTCAATTCCCACCCAGGACAATTAATAAGTTTTATAATGAGCAAGATTACTAGTTCTATGTTTGGGTGTAATTTATCTATAACTAGCTGACCCGCGCAACTTCGTCTGCGTCTCTCAATAGTAATAAATTTTCTCCGTTTTTGAAACATTCTTCATTGGTGCTCCGCTCCTATTGGTGTTAGCGTGATGAGGTATAGCCTATAGCCTTCCTCGATAAATGGGCTATCTAACACTGAAAGAATTTGACTGCACGGATGGCGTAGTGGTTTAAGCGGTCGCCACGCCGCATTCTACTACGCCGAGTGTTGTGGGTTCAAACCCCACATGTGACGACACTTTGTGTGATCTACAAATTGTTGTTCCAAGTCTGGGTGTTGTTTGTGTCCGTCTCATGTATGTTTCTAAAGTTGCCCGGGACACAGGAATATATCCTTATGCGGGAGTTATCTTTTAAAAAAAAAAAAAACAAAACCAAAAAACCATTTTTCAAATCGGACCAGTAGTTCCTGAGATTAGCGCGTTCAAACAAACAAACAAACTCTTAAGCTTTATAATATTAAATTAATTAATATATATTATTATACTAGTTCTATGTTTGGGTGTAATTTATCTATAATATGTACGTGTAAAAGTGTTTATATCAGCAGTCTGGTTACCGTAGTACAGGCTCTACCCAGTTTCGGATCAGACGGCCGTGTGTGAGATGTGTGAGGGTATCATTATTTGCGACTCTTTGTACGAGTAGATACGCGGTATTACAAACTGCCCTTATAAGATTTTACAGGTTCATCGAAGATATACATTTTGTTGAGTATAAATTGTTCATGAACCATATTTAAGGTATATCTGCTTTGACATAGGTTAAAATTAACTTCCAACATTTGTTCATTCTTACATATTATAAAATGAAATATGCCGGCCGCATCTGTATGTCTGTATGAATGCGATAAACTCAAAAACTACCGAACGGATTCTTGTATGGTTTCCACCAATAGATAGTGTGATACCTAAAGAAGATTTAGGTATATAATTCATTATGGTTTTATGTAAATTAACTAAAATATAACGAATATTGTTGAAGGGGTCGCAAACAATGCTATATAAACCGGGCGAAATAGGGATCACGGTTACCAAAATCCAATCGGGCGGAGCTGAGGGCGGAAGCTAGTAATCCCATATAAAAATCGTGTTATGAAATAAAGAAATGCTCTTAAGAGAATAACTATTTAAAATATGGATACAAACCAGATTTTTTTTTAAATTTAGGTGTCAATGACACCAAGTCTATAAAAATAAATAACCGTATATCGGTTTTACAGTTTTAAACTAGAATTCGCCTATCGTAGGTTTTCTCGGTTACAGAATCGTCACCTATCTAATCTGTGGTATTTTATTTTCTTTTTAAGACAACTCGCTCACTAGGAATATACCCTGTGTCGCGGGGGACTTTACAAACATATATGAAACGGACACAAAGAAATATCAGACTCGGAATAACAATTTGTGGATCACATAAAGTGACGTTCCATGTGGGGATCGGACCCACAACACTCAGCGTTATAGGAGGTGATAGCTTAAACTGCTACGCCATCCGTGCAGTCATCATCAGCTATCCTATCAGTGGCAGTTTGTTTTTTTTTAAAGACAACTCCCTCACTAGGAATATATCCTGTGTCGCGAGGGACTTGTCAGACATTCATGAAACGTTCACAATGAACACTCAAGACTCAGAACAACAATTTATAGTACACACAAATTGTTGTCCCATGTGGGAATCAAACCGACAACACTCAGCGCAGTAGCAGTAGGAAGTGATAGCTTAAACCACTAAACCACACGGGTAATTAAAAAGATTATAAAGTTTATGGTGTCACCTCAAGGACGATTTGATCATGACGGAATGGAACCGACTAGAGTCAGTCTTCGATGTTCCATCTTGAGTATCTATTCCTAACAGACTTAACTACTTTTTTACTAACTTCAAAGAAAGAGGAGGTTTTCAATGTGTACAAATAAATAAAATTGAAGTTTGTAATGTTAAAATAATAGGTTATTTGCACGATACCGAAACCATTTTAAATATTTTTTTGTCTCTGTCTGTTTGTTGCGGTTTACTTTTAGATTTGACTTAAGGCAGATCATTCGATTTCGAATTCAATATATGCACCTCAAAAAAAAAACAAATACCCCCAAAAAGCATTCAAACAAGAAAAGAACGGAAAATCTACAATGTGACTATAGAAACGAAAAGTAAATCAAATTCGGTCTATACCTTTTTAATAATTGTTTATGGCCCAGGTATACACATTATAAGCCATTATGCCCTAGATAGAGACAAACATAAGCTAAACTTACACAACTCTCCCTTTCTGTCGGAGGTTAAAAGGCTTTTTGTATGATTCAGAAACCTGCTGCGTTCAAGTTCTACCTCCTTGTAAGTTATAGTCAAACATACAAAGAACTGACTATCAATTTAGTAGTTAACTTTAATTATAACAAGATACAAATTAAACAGTATATTAGCACTAGTAGGTATGGTTATATTTCTCTTGTAATAATTAGCGACAATCTTGTAAAAGACTTTTCTGGGAAATCAGTAATATCTATACAATAATAGTTAAAATATATTCCAACTTCTATCTTGGCTTTATCAAAAGATCTTTGACCTTGTTACACATAAAAAAAATCAAAACATTTGATCAATTAATTTCATTTAACAATGAAAATGAATAAAATCAAGGATTATTTTAATAAAATAATTAGTAAAATACTAAATACAGATTTCTTAATGTTAAATTAAGTTAAAAATAATAAGAAATATATGAACTTACATAAGAAATAGATTGTGGATTGTTTATAAACACTATAACACGCATGCGCGGTGACAGCGCGGACACAACTGACTGACAGATGTCTTAATATGGCGGTCAACTCGTTTTTATACACAAATTATTAATCGTACAGTGTCATTCGGTTTCACTCGCTATTTATGAAATTTAGTGAAATATTGTTCAAAGAAACATTTTGGGATTTTTGACATGTATATTATACAGACCACTACCAATAATTTCGGGTCCGTGTAGTGACGGATTAAAAATACAGAATGTCATTACCCCAAATTCATCCTATGGGTGTCGTAAGAAGGAAAAAGAAGGAACACATGACACAACCCTCTACCAACCCGTCTGGCCGTGGTATATTAGGCCAAAAACTCCTTTCTACGTAGAGGCCTTTGTCCAGCAGTGGAATATTAAAGGCTGTTGATGTGATTGTGTGACAGTGTTATTTTGGTCAGCTATCTCCTTTCTGACTGAGCGACTACTGGATCGATAGCATTTTTTTATATTCGAATCGCCAACAAATGATACACATTTCAAATAAAAATGTAAAATGATAAAAATGTCTGCTCATTCTTTCAAAGGCAATCCCATCTAGCGGTATGCATTTCATTAGTTTGGTATCAGAATGCTAAAACAAATCACTTACACAGTGTTAGAACTTTACTGGCGCATTGTTCTTTATAAACTCCTGACAATGCGAATCACATCACATCACATCACATCAACAGCCTTTAACAGTTCACTGCTGGAGCCTCTCCTTAGAAAGGAGGTTTTGGCCTACCCACGCAGGCCAGACGAGTTGGTATAGGGTTTGTGTCAAGTTTTCCTTCTTTCTCCAGTGCCAACAGCACTTCTGCTTAATTTTGTCCCTTAGTCGGCTCTTACGACACCCTCGGGATGAGTAGGGGTGGTGAAAATGCGAATGGAAAATCCTTTTACTTAAGTAATTAAGACTTAAGAGTGTTACAGACAGACAAACTTACAATAATAACATATCACAGCATTATTCAACTAGTTCTTAGAATATCGCGAACAAAGCGGTTTGGTTAAAATTGAACTTCCAACGGTGATTAATAAAATTGACCATCTGTTTTCAATATTAAACTTATAGATGTTTCACTTAGTTGACCTGTCATTAATATATGATAAATTCATCATTTAACCAGCTGTTGGTCAAGTGGTTTGTGATCCTGACTGCTAAATTATCAGAGGTAAAGGTTTGGACTCCGATAACCTTTCCGCCCTTTTGTCAAACCCTTCCTCCCCTCCCAAATAAAGGTTACGGGCTTCGGTAACCTTATTCTCTCGCTGAAAAGCAACGAAAGTTATTGAAAACTTTGTGACTACTTTCACATACAATGAAAATCATACTTCAGTACCATCTAACGAAGACACATGAAACTATTAATAGAACGAGAAACTATTAATCCTACATTGCGCTATCATAGTTCTGTACCCGATTAGTACAAATATACAATTTCCCAACGGTTATAGGGTCAAGGTCACAGGGTCAAGGTCATAGGGTCAAGGTTATAGGGTCAAGGTCCGACAAGATTGATCTCCGCGCTAGTCAGATGATACTCCTAGTGTTTAAAGGACATTTATTCCTCCACAACTTTTTAACTGTCTACGTCTAATTAATTTAGAACATGTAGTTGTTTGCCACCTGTATTGTATGTAAAGTAGCTGTATTAAGTTTTAGTATAAATGGATGATAATGTCTCAAAATAAAGACCTAATTTCGGCCCCCCGAATAAGATAGAACACCTCCATTAGTAACCAGACTACTGATAAATATACTTATAACTAGCGACCGACCCCGGCTTAGCACATGTGGAATGTAGATACTAGTGAGGTATCAGTGTACTTCACACTCACACCCGGGACGGACGTACGGCCCGACAGCCGCTCTGCCCCAGCATTTAAAATCTCTGATAATCATTGGAATGATATACTGTGAAGGGCAATCAAATCTTTGAAATTCTCGGATTTCCTCTACTGTAATATGCATGTATTATACACTTAAACCTTCCTCTTGAGTCACTCTTTCTATTGGTGAAAACCGCATCAAAACCCGTCTAGTAGTTTGAAAGATCTAAGCATACAGGAATGGGAAGCGATTTCATTTTATACTATGTAAAGAAATAAGTAGAAATGAATTATTTTTCTATACATACAAAACATTGTAGATGAATTACACCCAGGCACAGAACAAATGAGCTTGTTTATCACACTATGGTTATTATTGGGTGGGAATTTTCAGGTGAGTTATAAAAACAATGGTTATAATAAAACTTTATTTTAACTTACCGTGGGAGAACCATGGTTTTGCACAAATGGGCCGGCTCCGTGTGGTAACGGATTAAGAATACGGAGTGTCACCACCCCTATTCAAACCGTGGGTGTCGTAAGAGCCGAGTCCCTTTGTCGGCACACCCGCACAACGGCACTGCAAAGAGAAGGAAAACTTGACACAAACCCGTCTGGCCAGCGTGGTGTAGTAGTCCTAAACCTCCTTTCCAAGGAGAGGCCTATGTCCAGCAGTGGACTAGTAAAGGCTGTTGATGGTGATGACGGGCCAGCTCGATAGAAAACAGGTGTTGAGCTAATCTTTTGTTGTTTTGAACTGAATGAGCGGTATTGCCAGAGCCTGAAACCCCTCCCTCTACTCCTTTATTTCGAGGAGGAGGGGGCTCAACGGACGGCAATGCACTTGTGACTATATAGATGTTCATCGACGGCGGTGGACATTTACCGTCAGGATACCCATCAAGACGAGTCACACGTTTTGTTTTGTTTTATTTTTAAAGACGACTCACGCATTAGGAATATATCCTGTGTCGTGGGGGACTTTACAAACATACATGAAGCGGACACAAAGAACACCCAGACTCAGAACAACAATTTGTGGACAACAAATCACACAAAGTGTCTTCCCATGCCGTAGTAGTAAGCGGCGTGGCGACCATTTCAACCACTACGCCATCAGTGCAGTCGAAGTGCTACTATTCCCCTCCATAAGTAAAGGAAAGGGGGTTGGGTCTTCGGTAACCTCATTCAGTTGGCAGTTTTCCGTAAATCCTGGTTTCAATTCGGTCCACATAAGACGAAAAAAACGAGTGTGCTTTAGACCATACAACTGAAGTGAAACTTCTTGGGTATGAGAGAAAGAGAGAAAGAAAATGTGTGCTCGCACCTCTCTTGCCCCTCCAGTAATATACGAAACGATCCAATAATAACTATCTCTCTTTCTGTTTACACTAACTTATATCTCCCTCTCAACTGCCGTTCGCCTCCGCCCGTGTGCCGTGCCCGATCACACTTTTCGTAACGCTCTCGTCACGCATTCACAAGCTTACTCCCCAAGTCAAGCGTGAGTAAAGAAGTTTTACTTCAAAAGGCTCTTCCGCGATGGAATTGAAGAGAAAAAGAGATTTCGTTAAAATTTATCAACGGATCGTCTTTGCCAAACCCGATCCTAATGGATTTGCCAAAAATAATCGTATCAGTCCCAATTCAAGACTTTCTCTATCCGCCTCCAGTCTCCATTAAGAGATCTGTACGAAGATGTAGCTGGTTATATTATATATGCGAAAGTAACTCTGTCAGTCTGTCACGCTTTCACAGCTAAACCACTGAACCAATTTTAATGATGTCATGAAGATACTTTGATTCTTAATACACGTATACGCGGGCGGTATAGCGGGCAAAAACTAGTTACTTATAATAGGAAAACCCCAGACTGTTTGTCAAATGTCTGTGGACTCAATCCTAATGTTTCACGAAAAATGTTTACAGTCCTAAGGAGGTTTACCGTCAAGCCAGCGCGGCGGCGGCCGGCTATAAAAGAAAACCCCAAAACCATTTCGGAATGAAATGAAGGAGTGGAGGATGTCGCGTGATCAAGGAGAATGAAAGAAAAAAAGGTATAAGGGGGCAAACGAGCAGATGGGTCACCTGATGGTAAGCAACTATCCCCGCCCATGGACACCTGCAACTCAAAAGTCACAAGTGCGTTGCTGCCCTTGGAGCCCCTCCCGCTTGGGCTCCGGTAACCTCACTCACTCAGTGAAAGGCAACGAAAGAATTGCTTAACACCGGTTTTCTGTGAGGCCGTGGTATCACTCCGTAAGTGTAGTATGAGGTTGATGCTGGTGATTACGAGTTAAGTTAATAAAAACGCGTTTAAAATTGAATGATAAACAAATATACACTTTTTGATTTGTATATAGTACTCTTAGATTTGTATATAGTACTCTTAGATTTAATCTTTTCTCTTAACATAGGTTAAAAAGTTTATCATATTGTAGTAAATATGGATATTTAATGTTTGTTAGAGCATTATTCTACAAAAACATTATAAGTACATAATTTATTATAGCTAAGTATATGTAAAAAGCAGCATATGTCCTTCTACAAGAATCAAAGTAACCTCATGCCAAATTTCATTAAAGTTCAGTGACTATTTATTCCCTATGCAAACTTACACCACCCTTTTCACGCCCTTAAAAGATGATTTCTGGGATAAAAACTATCCTATGTCCTTTCCCGGGACTCAAACTATCTCTGTATTATATTTCGTCTAAATCGATTAAGCGGTTTAAGCGTGTGAGGTAACAGACAGACAGATAGACTGACAGAAAACATAGGATAGATTTTATCACAGAAATAATCCTTTAACCCCTTAAACCCCTAGAACTTTGTATTGGAAATCAATAACCGCTGAACCGATTTTGATAAAATTTGGTAAGTCGTTAGATTCGTTTTAATTGTCAAATTAACACTGGGTATATGAAAATTATCTATACAAATAAATACAATTGGAGTGTCTGTTTGTAATATTAAAATAACCGCTTTTTACTAAATGCATATGTATGTTTACACGGTACATATGCCAAAATAACATTTTTTACCATTTTTGTCTGTCTGTTTGTTCCGGGTAATCTCTGAAACGGCTGGACCGATTTCGACGGACCTTTCACAGGCAGATAGCTGATGACATAAGGAGTAACTTAGGCTACTTTTTTTAGACTAGCTTCGCCCCGCGGCGTTGCCCGCAGTTATAACAACAAACGCGGGTAACACCACGGGTCTCAGCTAGTATAATATAAAAACTCAAATCCCCGGTTTGTAAATTATAAATAGGTATACATCACGCAGTCGGGTATTTGAATTTTTTAAATAATTATCTTGTTTACAGTATGTGCTTTCTTTAAACATAACATCTCATCATCTCCTCATCTTGTAAAATGTTTTTTACCGCGATAATGGATAGACACGCAGGCGGGCAAAAACTCTAACCACCTTTTTTTTTTTTTTTCTTTTTTTTTTTTTTCCGTGCGGAAATCCCCTCGGATACCACCTGTCGGTGGCATGTCGGACTCGAACCGACTAAAACCGCACGCCGTCGCCGGGTACTAATAGCCGGGGAACCAGGTATACCCTAGAAAGGAAGTCCCTGGTGAACTCTAACCACCTAACAAATTTTACAGAATCACCCGTTGAGTTTATTTTCCAGTTATAGATAATTTAATCCAGTATTGGTTGTAGGAAAGCAATGATTATATGATTTCAACGAATTTCGGTCTGGTAAATATTGTTGTTTACGGTAAGTTCGTTCTTAGGACAACAAAATCAACATTATTTTGGCCTTTTGAACTCGTATTTAGTAGGACGTCTTAGTGTGATGATGTATTAACATCACCTTACCACCGAGCCTTTTCCCAATCTTAGGTGGGGTTGGATTGGGATAGGATGGCGGCCTGATTGCATTAAGACGAAATTGGGCCGCCACGTCGCGATTGAGGGGGGAAGTGATTTTCCCCTGGGATAGGGCCTGACTAGGCATGGTGTCAATTCGGCGAGGACCTGAAATAACATGGTCCGGGTCCTCCCAGAGTAGGTTTTTACGCGACCGCTATCATGGCAATCGGTACCGACGGATTAATGTGCTCTCTGAGGAACGTAAGGATCTCAATGTGCTAAGAATGGTCACCCATCCATAGACTGACATGGATTGGTTACCACCTAGCCACGCGTTTCTTAAGGGCCTCAGAAGAATATAAATACAAGGAATTAGCATGTGTCAGTGGGTTGTGTCTCAGTTTTGCGAATAATCTCAACATTTTTGGACACTTACTTGATTTTGATTTTCATAAAATACACAAACGTGACACACACTCACATCTTTGTTTCCATGGGGCTAGGGTCCGTGTGGTGACGGATTAAGAAAATTCATCCCGTGGGTAAGGTGGGTGGGGTAAGAGCCGACTAAGGGAGCAAACTAAGCAGGACAACAGCACTGCAAATAGAAGGAAAACTTGAAACAAACCCTATACCAACCCGTCTGACCAGCGTGGTATAGTAGGCCAAAACCTCCTTTCTAAGGAGAGGCCTATGTCCAGCAGTGGACTAGTATAGGCTGTTGATGAGGCAGAGGCATATTAAACGGCCAGATTATGTCGACTATAATTTTAGTCCACATACTTATATATTTTTAAATACGTACATACTACAGATAAACTCAACCCCCTCATCTTTTTTTGTAAAAGACAACTCCCGCATTAGGAATAAACACTCAGACTCAGAACAACAATTTGTGAATCACACAAAGTGTCGTCCTATTTGGGGATCGAACCCATAACACTCAGCGTAGTAGTAAGCGGCGTGGCGACCGCTTAAACCACTACGCCATCCGTCATGATCCATCACATTGTTATAACCCTCAAAACTTAAGGTCTATCTAATTATATATAACTCATCTTCACTTCATCTCAAGAGAAGATAATAAAAAATAGGTAATCGAGATGAATATTTCAGACAGGTGTAAATAATATAAATACTCCTGAAAGATTACAACGGTTTTAACAGCCTTTAAACTAAGTCGCGCACGGACATACAAATTCTGTGAGTCTGTCCGCCCGTTTAGTTTAGCCGTGACCGTCTGTCATACAGACGTATGTTCTCGTTGTATGTTCTAAGTATATTCGGTAACGGGTTTAACAAATAAAACAAAACTATTGCCATAACATTTATTTTATAAAAAAAAAACGAAAAATTTGACAATTAATACAAATTTGTTTGAATAGAATACTTATATTTCCTTGAACGAAGGAAGTCTTACTTCTAGAAAGATCTTTATTCATGCTCAACAGAGTTCTAACAGCACGATAACAGAGAACCTAGGGTAAGTTTGTTTCGCTTCTATTGGATCATCACGGTGATGCGTTTGGCGTTGTGATTGGCCCGAATTAAACTCTTCACCAATCACATCGCCGAACGCGCTCGCGATCGCTGTCGCTGACCAATCGGTTATTATTCTTTATTATCCGACTGCGCCAGAGTGGTTTTCCAGTGTTTGTGTGCATGTATGTGTATATTTCTTTGGCACGCTCTGTTTTCTAAACGTCTTAAATGATTTTGGTGTTTGAGACGTCGTTAGATTCGTTTTAATTGTGAGAGTAACACTGGACATATGAAAATATCTGTAAATTTGTAAATTTTATGTAGGGATACATTTTCACGCAGTCGGATTTTTGTTTTTTTCCAGTAATTATCTTGTTTACAATATGTGCATCCTTTATGTTGTATTAATTAAATTAACATTCAAAAAGTGATTTTCACGATCCAAATCTTGTAAATTGTGTTATGTGAAGGCCATTTTGTGTTTACTAAAATTAAATTAAGTTTATAGGCATTTTGTGCGGTGTGTGCGTTTATTACTATAATTACTAACAATTTACTAAAAAATATTTACTTTTAGGTGACTATCACTACAACTAGACTAAGTTTTAGATATTTTTGCTGTAAATTTTTTTGACATACAGTTTTTTTCTTTAATTCATATTATTTTATAAATTTTGAAGGCATTTGATAAGATGTGTATGTTTCTTATAAATTATTTTATACTTTAATCTGACAGTATACATTTTTAAACTTCTTTAATTATAAAGATCCATAGACATAATCTAATTCACAGAACAGAGAATATTGTAATTTACATAGCCACGGCGAAAGTGTACGGCGAATAGGTGCGCAAGTACGAATATTTTCAGTGAGTTACGCACATCGCGTTTCTAACTTTGTTATATTATATCATAACAGATGTAAAAACTATACAATTTTAAATATAGGACCACATAGAAAGTTATTTTGTACAACCCGCAGTCTCTACTACTACATTTATCACTGCGCCACACCTGAGGATCTTAGCGTGGTCTTCCACAGCACATAATCTTCCCCAATAAATACTCTATCCAATACCAAACGAATTATTCAAATCTGACTGACAGTTTCCGATATAAAACTTTAGCATACAGGAATTCCGCCCTTATTTGTAATAATAATAATAACATTTATTAACGTCAATTTAAGTACATTTTTTTTAATATTACAACATTTTCTTATGTTAATTACACAGTAGAGTCAGACTCTGGTACCCAAGATAAGATTAAACTTGGGTTGTGGGTACCAGTCCCTCTCTTATCCAAAACTAAAAAAAAAACTCGCTACTGTGCTGTCAATGATTGTAAGTATCTACAAAACTAGTCGACAACACGTTGCCGATCCTACAGAAACTTAAAATGAACTTCAAACTAAATATCTTACTTATTTTGTGGTGCTGTTAGAACTCCGAGAACATTTTTCTTATAATACTGATGATGACTAATACCAGTCCTGGAAATGCTGCTTGAAGGCGGTAACTTCCACACCTTGAGGAACTCTGGTTACATGAACCTGTATAAAAACATAACCAATTAAATACGTAATATATATAATATATATATATATATATATATTTATTATCCCTAACACAGGCTATTATGTAGCCTAGCTGGGAAAACAGCACTCAACCACGATATTATTGTAGACTTCTAATTGTAACACAAACTCATCATAATAAACGTAAAATTGTGTAAACCTACAATCTCATCTACAATTAAAAGTTATTATTATTATTATTATATTTTTATGTTAGAGGGGGCAGACGAGCAGACGGGTCACCTGATGGAATGTGACCATCGCCGCCCATGAACGTCTGCAACTCGGGAGTCACAAACGCGTTGCCGACTTTTTAGGAAGGAGTACGCTCTGTTCTCTTTTCTTTTAATATATATTAAAAGAAAAGAGAACAGCAGCAGCGACAGTTCTCTTAAAACTTGATCAAAGATTCGGTCGGGTACAAAACTAGTCGCAAGCCTCTGGATTTTGAGTAAGTAATATACGGGAATAGACAAATCATCCGACGAGAGACTACCGTGGGCCATGGACACATGAAATTCAAGACACACAAGCTACGTGTTCCCGCCCTTTAAATCCCAATCCTCCTTTCAGAATGTGAAGGTCTTGGGTTCCGGTAATCGTTTCGTTGTTTTCCCTTCGCCTTTCACCTTTCAGAAATAGCGGGATAGGATGTTTTAAGCTCCGTGAACCTCATTCACTTGGTGATTAAACGATAAGCTATTGAATTACTAAGTATATTAATCAACAGCCTTTACTAGTCCACTGCTGGGCATAGGCAGCTCCTTAGAATGGAGATTTTAGCCTACTATACCACGCTGGCCAGACGGGTTGGTTTAAGGTTTGTTCCCAGTTTACCTTCTCTTTGCATTGCTGCTGTTCTGCGTAGTTTAGTCTGTTAGTCGGCTCTTACGACCCCCCTGGCATAAATAGGGGTGGTGACACTTTGTATTCTTAATCCGTCACCACACGGTAAACATACTAAGTACGTTATTTTATTTATTTATTTCCAATCTATACAAATAAATAAAATTGGAGTGTCTGTTTGTAATATTAAAATAACCGCTTTTTACTAAATGCATATGTATGTTTACACGGTACATATGCCAAAATAACATGTTTTACAATTTTTGTCTGTCTGTCTGTTTGTTCCGGGTAATCTCTGGAACCGCTGGACCGATTTCGACGGGACTTTCACTGGCAGATAGCTGATGACATAAGGAGTAACTTAGGCTACTTTTTTTAGACTAGCTTCGCCCCGCAGCGTTGCCCGCGGTTATAACAACGGTCGAGTAATAAAACTCACAGTGTTGGTAACAATTTGACTTATAAACTTATAACTATATTAGTAAACTAATTAAAAACACAATTAGACGAACCGACACCTAACATGGCACATGGGTATCATGCTGCAAGTCCTGTAGAAAGTCTGCAGTACCGGTAGGCCCTGAATGGTCAGTTATATTTGTCTGCGCCATCATAGCTTCTAAACAGATGATCTGATTTTAATCAGCTTTGAAATGTGAACTCTAAGTTCATATTTCAAAGGTGATTTGATCCAGCGTGTTCTTGGCCACAGTTCAAGGATATATGTTTAACTGTTTGAAGATTATGAGTTCTTTTGTGATATGTGATAGTATATATAACATACGAGAGGTGGCAACGCGTCGCCACGCGCAAGTGACTGCAAAATAATTTAATATATACTGCGGAAGGTCAGCCCAACATTACATGGTACACAATATGTGTACCATGTAATGCGTTGTGGCGACGCGTTTTTGACGTGACAACGTCTTATAATTCGATGGAGCCGGCTGCACGCATGAAAAAACATGACTCATGCGGCGTTACCTCGCTCTGAGGCGTTCCATTTAAGGCTTGAAGTGCAAGCGAGAGCGCGGAACGAGCGACAAAGAGACATCTGTCTCTCTTCTACTTGAGTGAGCGATGCGTCCGCGTGGACAGCTGCTATACAATAATACATTTACATGTTTTCGTCAAGTATGAAGTGCAGTGAAAAGTGAATGTGGTGTCTTATGACGTTGTCACGTTCAACTATCGTCAGTAAACTGACTTACAGACAGCCGATTTTTATTCTAATTATCTTCATAAAATAATTTTGTCCGTGTGGTGATCGATTAAGAATGCGGAGTGTCACCCCTATTCATCCCGTAGGTGTCGTAAGAGTCGACTAAGGGATCAAACTACGCAGGATAACAGCACTGCAAAGAGAAGGAAAACTTGAAACAATCACTATACCAACCCGTCAGACCAGCGTTGTATAGTAGGTTAAAACTTCCTCCCTAAGGAGAGGGCTTTGTCCATCAGTGGACTATTAAAGGCTGTTGATGAAATAATTTCGATGGTAGATCTGTTTTAACTTCTTTGGTTTTAATTTTTTCAATTAACAATTACAATAACACATTTTAATATATCATAATAATGATTAATTTTTGTAAAAATTTGCTATACCCATTATTTCAGGCGCTTTCGCTTAATAAAATTACAGATTTCAACTGATAACCCAAACTCTGCAGTTATAAGCCTGCTCGACTGGAGTACAATGGTCTCACAGAAAACCGGTGTTAAAAAATTCTTTCGTAGTTTTTTACCGACTGAGGGAGGAAACCCTTGACTCAATATCTCCTCCCCAACTAACTCTGTTTGAAAGTAATCAAATGGGTCAATTTGTGACTCTAAAGTACAATAGGCTGCGGTGGTGACTTCATCATCAACAGCCCCTAACAGTCCACTGCTTGACATAGGCCTCTCTTTACAATAGAGGTTTTAGCCTAGTATACCACGCTGGCCAGACGGGTTTATTTTAAGATTTCCTTTTGTGACTTGTGGTGTATTTGTGGTGACTTACCATCAGGTAATCCAACTGCTCATTCTTCCTCAATACCATAAAAAGAAATCCGTAATAAACCCCTCACTAGATAATACATTCAGTTTTTCCATAGTTGAATTCTATCCATGGGAAAGGCATGGTGTTTAGTAGAGCGTGACATGCGGACAGTTCAAGGCGAGTTTATTTACGACCATGGTTACCTTGATATCGGACTAAATCGATACATTACTTTGACCTGGTCAATAATGACGTGCTACTGAAGAAGCTAGCTAGCATCGGTTTCACCCCCCACTTGCTTAATTTTTTTGCCAGCTACATGCAAGGTAGGCAGCAGTACGTGGAATACGGGGGGCATGTATCGGAGCCATATTTCACCAGGTCCGGCGTAAGTCAAGGTAGCAACCTTGGGCCTCTAGAATTCATTATAATGATTAATGATCTACCCAGAGTAGTCCAGGATGCGAAATGCTTACTGTTCGCAGACGACCTCAAGCTCTCCCTCCCTATTAACAACTTGGAGGACTGCAAGAAGCTTCAAACAGACATAGATAGGGTGGTAACCTGGAGTAGAGACAATCTCTTGCAGTTTAATACCTCGAAGTGCGTGGCTATCACCTTCTCACGCTTACGCGAACCCATCTCGTATAATTATAATTTAGACGGGACACAGATGGTAAGGGTCACAGAGGTTAGGGATTTAGGGGTTTGTGTTAACACTGAGCTAAGATTTCGTGATCACATAGTGAAATGCTGTAAAAAAGCTTATAGGAATTTGGGTTTTGTTTTACGAACAGTAAAGGACTTTAGAAACCTAAATACAATTATAGCATTGTATAACGCGTTGGTAAGAAGTCAGCTAGAGAGTAACGCAGTCATCTGGGCCCCACATGAAGCTAAATATAGCCTCATGTTGGAGCGAGTTCAAAATAAATTTGTTAGGTTTTTGTACTTCAGATACTATGGAGTATACCCATTGTATCCATTAATGTATCCCACGTTATTTATTCTGGGTATGGTGGGATACAATGAACTGAGGGTCAGAAGGGAACTCACACTCGTCTCGTACCTGTTTAGGGTACTTAGGGGTGGGATACATAATGAAGACTTGTTAGGACGAGTCAGCATATGTGTTCCGGACAGATACGTGTGGCGGCGCCTTGGGCCGCCGCTGCTGGCTGTCCCGTGCGGGCGCACCAACCTGCAGAGAGAAGCACCGCTGACGCGCGCACTACGTACTCTGAATATAATTGCGGACGAAGTAGATTTTTTTTATTGCTCACTGAGTGAATTCACAATAACAGCATTAAGAATTATTTCTTATAATAAATAAGTAGATGGTATAACACTATTGCATTGGGCTAAGCCTGTAAAAATAGTTGTTTTTAAAGAAAATAAATAAATAAAATAAATAAATAAAAAATTACCCATGGTTTTTATATACTCATAGGCACAATAAACCGGCCACCCTGTAATTTTGATAGTTTGTCGAAACCATTTAATTTTGCACATATTTGATGAATGTAAAAGTGAGTTCGTCTGTTCCTCAACCACTAAACCGATTTTAAAAATTCTTTCTGTAATGGAAAGCTACATTAACAGCGAGTAACATAGGCTACTTTTTACAGCGATACACGCGAGCGGAGTCGCTGGCAAAAGCTAGAATATCATAAATGTCAAAGTGAGTTCGTTTGTTTGTTATGCTTTCGCGCCTAAACCACTAAACCGATTTTAAAAATTCTTTCATCAATGGAAAGCTACTTTATACGTCGATAACCTACATATATGCGGGCGGAGCCGCGGGCAAAAGCTTTGATAGATAAAAGTATTATAAGAGAAACAATTTGTTAGTATTTAATTCGAAGAAAACGCTAATTTCTTTTTTAATAATGAACTTCGTTTGATCAAAGAAAAAAAGTCATTTTTATGATTTAATTAAAATTTAATAACGAGTTGCCACCGATCTCTAATGATTTCTGGAAACCCTGGGCCTCAAGTCTGCTATTTTATGTTCACGCCAAGCCACTGTCATATAATTTGAAAATATATTACGTTTTTTTGAGGAAATGATTTATTCATTTTACCAAATATGGCAATTTTTGATATCACCACTGATGAGCCACTGCCATTCCATCGCCACTGTAAAGACACTGAGTTAGTGTAGACTACCGATATTTATACCGATGCCAATGGCCACTCGATGGCATCTCAATAGCGTGTCAGTGGTATGACAGTGGCTTGGCGTGAACATGAAATAGAAGAATTGAGGCCCTGTTTGGAAGACCATTAATGACGTCCTGAATGTCAGACCAAGGGATATTAATTTGCAAGACCAGGGGATATTAATTTGCAAGTTAATTGTGCTTGTAAGAGTTTGTTGTAATCAGAACTCTTAACTGATCAAAAGTATATTTAAACGGCAAAAAACATACGTATTTTTATCAACAACATCACACTATTTTAACCTCATCAGATGATTTAAGAACGGTAGTTGGTATCTGACGCAGCATGATTGTCAACAGCCTCTAATGGTCCAGTGCTGGACGTAGGCCTCTCCTTAAAAAGGAGGTTTTGGCCTACTATACCACGCTGACCAGGCGGGTTGGTATAGGGTTTGTGTTAAGTTTCTTTCCCTTTGCAGTGCTGTTGTCCTGCGTAGTTCGCTCTTATAGTCGTCACCACACGAACTGAGATTACCGGAGCCCAAACCACCATTCCCCCTATTTCTGGGGGAGGAACTCCAAGGGCGGGAACTCATTATGTGACACTTGACTTTCAAGTGTCTATAGGCAGTGGTAGTCACTTACCAGCGACCCATATTCTCCTTTATCCTCCCTAAACTGTAAAAAAAAATCAAACAAGTATTTTTTGAAAAAAAAATCTTTGAACTTACCCAATCCGGGTAGTGGTGAGCCTTGAGGTACTGTTCAGCTTTCTTCATGGCTGCGGCCTTCTCCTAAGGAAAAAGAAAAACCATTCCAAATATGAAATCAATAGCAAAGCTGGAAAAAAGCTAAGCAAAGCTTTTGTTTATTTGAACGCGCTAATCTCAGGAACTACGGGTTCGAATTGAAAAATTATTTTAGTGGTGGATAGCCCATTTCTCAAAGGTTATATCACATCACGCTAAGACCAATAGGAGCTGGACATCAATGATAATAATGCAAAAAAGTAATTACTGGCCAGTACCCGTAATGACATTAAAGAAAAAATATAAATGTCCCTTGGGTTGAATATAAACAAGGTCGCGGGTTTGATTCCCGCTCAAATCAAACATTTGTGTCCATGAACATTTCATCTTTGATTTGGTTTGGGTGTTTCTATTTATAATATGTATATTAGCGTATGTATGTATAGTATTTATGTATTAAAAATATTTCATAGGTTAAGACCTTATTTACTTCTCTAATTGCTGTATACCTATCACCAGTTCAAAATGAATCCATCCAAAGGTTGCCTGAAAGAAATTGCACTAAGCGATAAGGCCGCCCTTTGTGCATTACATCTGTTACTTTATAATTTTTAAATTACTTTATAATGTCTGTAAAACCCTGGTGTACAAATATAGTGTTTATCTTTCTATCTAATATGTATGTATTTACAAATAAAAGTATATATGTATTTATATCAGTTGTCTAGTACCCACAGTACAAGCTCTAGTTAGTTTGGGACTAGATAGCGTTGTGTGAATGTGGTAGAATATTATTATTTTTCTTCAGTTACTTTGATCAAATTTACTTGATCTGACTAACTGAATCATCAACGCAGAGCCTGGGGCTACAAACTTGAAATTTTGGAGCTCTTTTTTTTTCTCTTTTTCTTTTAAAAAGACAACGGAATAGGAATAGGAATATATCCTGTGTCGCGGGGGACTTTACAAACTTACATGAAACGGACACAAAGAACACCCAGACTCAGAACAACAATTTGTGGATTACACTAAGTGTCGTCCCAGGTGGGGTTTGAACCCACAACACTCGGCGTAGTAGGAAGCGACATGGCGACCGCTTAAACCATTACGCCATCCGTGCAGTCTAATCAGCTAATACTTTTGATGTTTTAAGGGCCCATTACGTAAGGTTTTTTTTTTAAATTTCACCCTTGAGAGAGTAAACGGATGAGTGGTTGTATAAAAGCTCGTAACTTTAGTTAGTAACACGAAATAATACAGGCATACACAGGCAATAGCTAGTATTTATATTATGGTATTTTTTTGTATTTAGTGTCAGTTGCCAGTTTGGTATAGTAGGCCAAACCTTCTTTCTAAGGAGAGGCCTATGTCCAGCAGTGGACTATTAAAGGCTGTTGATGTGATGTATGTGATGTGCCAGTTTTATTATTGTGATAATTATTGTGTTTTATTTTAGGGGATTTTTTTCAAGTAATTGTGGCAATTTTGTAGCTCCAGGGGATTTTTTTTTCAGAGTCGGTAACGTGATCATTTGATTGAAGAACCCACCCACTAGCACAGACATTAAAACACTTTTTATACCACATCAAAAAATACTTTATAACATCGTAAATAGTGTATAAAATATTGGTATCTTTTAGTTTATAGCCGCGGAGACTGCGTAATGCATAAGTTTTGACTTATTTTAGGACTAAAGAGATTAATTTCTGATCATCAAAGTGATGAGTCTCATATATTTTTAGGTGAATCATAAAGTGAGTCCCACATTGCTAGTTTGATATCTTTGTGGTTTTTATTTTCGTTTTATAGTGACGGGCGTGTTGGTCTAGTAGATAGTGACCCAGACTGCTTAGCCGGAAGTCGTGGGTTCACTTCCTATCTAGGAATTGTGTGATGAGTGTTGAGGAATGGGTGCTGCTGTGGATTTCCTTCTTGAAGATTGTTTTCAATCACGTTGGGGTCAACACTGTGGAGGAACGGGTGTTATGACCCTTCAACACAAAGGGAGGATCCTCCGACCGAGGTCATCATGCCTGGCGGGCCGCGGCCTATCAATTGATGTTGGAAAGTTGTATATCGGTAAGAGAATGTTTCATATCGCGATACAGGATTTCAATTCTCACTCAGTAGTTACTCCGTAGTTCGGTGTGTCTTCGTTAGATGGCGCTGTAGTATGTTTCTGTTTCTTTATATGTGGGAGTTGCCACAAAGCGCACGATCATATGTTCGGTGTCTGGGTGTAATTTACTTATAACAAGCTGTTAATCCGCACAACTTGGCTTACGTCTCTCAAAAGGAATAAGTTTTCCCCATTTTTGCAACATTTTTCGTTATTGCTCTGATGCTATTTGTCGTAGCGTGATGTGATATACCATAGAGCCTTCCTTGATAAATGGACTATAAACACTCCAAGATTTTTTTAATTTGAACCTATATTTTCTGAGTTTAGCGCTTTCAAGCAAACAAACAAACCCATCAGCTTTATAACAGGCATTAGTATAGATTAAAAATAATACAAATCAAATGCCAGGCGTTTCTTAACTTTGGTGAGAAGATTTATATCAATAATTAAAAATATTCGATTCTATGGAAAGTGTAAAAATGTAATATCGACAGCAAAATTAAGAGAAATAAAAAATAACTGCATTTTAATAGAAAAGCAAACTATTAAACGATATTTTTCAACCAACACTACACTATTTCGTATCTACAATTTAAAAATGAATATTATATACCTAATAGAGTTAAAAAAGAATAGATTTTATTGAGCGAATATTTTTTTATTATTAAAAAAATACGTACCTTGTCATTGGATTCTCTGCCGACCCAAACGTAGATACCGCTGTAACTGCCAGTGTCCAAGATGTAGCATTCCTAGAAAAAAAAACATTAAACCATCTGTCTTGCCTCAGCTGCTTTGTATAAAACAGTAAATCTTTCTGACATCATCAAATAATTTACTAGCAACTTGGGTCAGATGTTACTATAGTTAGTGGCATATAATTTAGGGGCTCGAAAGACCAGTGTGATAAATAATGGTCCTTCGAGCATCTATCGAAAACATCTGTTCATATATCCAATATGGTTTACATCAAGCTCTCAAGGGCTCAAGGGCTCTTCAACTAATTGCGACTATCGGATAATATAACTTCTAAGTATTAAGTACCTTTGTGCAAGGTATATCTTAAGTATCAGATAAGATAAAAGTGTTAACTTGGTTTAACGCAAATATGTAGCAAAATTTGAGTTTAGAGGGTTCGGTTGCCGGCTGTAGCCCTTATTGGGAGGGGATTGAGCCTTTGTTAACCTCCGTCACTCTGTGAAAGCAACAAAACAATTACTTCAGACCATACATGGACATTATTGCTTCTTTTAAATCATATTCATTTGATGAAATGATTAGTTTTAGTCACAGCGATTTCACATGTGAATGTGATTACGTCATAGACACAAAAAATTAAAAACAATTAAAATCTTTTTATAGAAGACTGCGACCTCGTTTTTAGATTCAGACCTTTCGCGAGTGTTGCGCTAGCGTAATAATTAAGTAGCAGTGGTTTTGTAAATTAGTCACAGGTGATGTGATATGACATATAAATCATATGATTTATAGCATGTGATTATGATTTTATTCCACCCCTACTTAACACCGGTTTTCTGTTATGCCGTGCTGTTACTTCGGTCGAGCTGGCCCATATTAATAATATTTTTTCAATATTTTAAACCGTATTTTTATCTACTGATATTTTCTAATAAAATTAAAAAAAAAAAGAAAATCCTGACTAGAAACAAATCCTGTGTCACGGAGACTTTACAAACATACATGAAACGTACACAAAGAACACCCAGACTCAGAATGTCAAATTGTGGATCACACAAAGTTGTCCCGTGTTGGCATCGAACCCAAAACACTCGGCGCAGTACGGAGTTGCCATCCACTCCGACCACTACGTCATCCGCGGAGTCTCTGCTTCTCTTAACGGCTGGTAAGAGAAGTAGAGACAGAATATTTGTTCTGCAAGTCTCACCTTATCATTCAACAAGTCCTGTGTGAATGGAGGAGATAGCTTGGTGATCTTGAGAGAACCGGAGCTGTCGGAGATCTCGCTCAGAGAAACCTCGGATGTAATACCGCGTTCGAATTCCTGTTGAGGTAAATATTTCTGAATAGTTTTCGACCACAGGTCAAAAATGGACGGTTATACATATGAAATTAGTTGATCTGACTGCCTGATGCATCAACGCAGACCCTAAACCGCCAGGGTTACAAATTTGACATTTTGGCAGCTGGTATTTTTTAACCCCCAACGGAAAACGAGGGGTGTTATAAGTCCAACCTGTCTATCTGTGTATCTGTCAGTCTGTGACATCATAGCTCCCGAACGGATGGACCAATTTGGATGTGGATTTTTTCGTTCGAAAGCCAATGTGATTGAGATTCTAAATTATAAATTTTGAAGATCATCAGCTCACTTCCTAGGTAAGACTCACTCTGGGAAGACACGCCGAAACAAACCACAGATGCGTCTTTTTTTTAGTTCATTAACAAAACTAAAGAAAGTTAGTTTAGTGTAGTTTTCAGTCAGCCTATAGGCTGTGGGTAGGCCTTTTGCAGAAAGGACCACAGTTTTGAGTCGGCCTGTCCATACAGACGGCATACGGGCCCCAGCTATCGTGTAGCTTAACCGATATTTTTCAAGATCAACGACCCGAAGCACGACACTACCGCCAGCAGGATATTTAGGTAGAGCAGTAACCACTCAAAACCACCAGAAAGTTACTAAAAATATGAATTAACAGGAGAAGCCTAAACTATGCTTACATATATATATACTATATATACTTACACAAAAAAATATACTATGCAATTCAAATTGTTGATGCATTCAGTCAGTCAGGACTGTATATATTGATGAAATTAACTGATGAAATTAACTGACCTCGTCGTCACCACCTTCATCAGCATCTGCCACTGAGTCCTTGTCCCCAGATCCAAGAGCTTCAAAGAACTTCTGGTAATCGCTCTCGTGTGAGTCAGCATCTGGACCGAAAAGATCATTATCCATCTTTAAAAATAGGAGCCAAAATAGGAGCCAAAAAGCAGGTTAATAGAGAATAACAAAAAGCTTTGTATTCCAAAGAACTACTGCTTTTAATCCCCGACACAAAAAAAATCTTTAAAAAACAACAACTCATTGAGACTGTTCCAATAAGCCCAAACATAGGGGTGATGACACTCTAGGGTATACCTGGTTCCCCGGCTATTAGTACCCGAGACGGCGTGCGGTTTTAGTCGGTTCGAGTCCGACATGCCACCGATAGGTGGTATCCGAGGGGATTTCCGCACAGAAAAAAAAGGGGGTGATGACACTCCGTATTCTTAATCCGTCACCACCCGGACGTTTACACATATTATATTAGAGAAGAATTCTCTCTCTAAAACCTAGCGAGTTCAAGCACTACAAGAAGTACTACAGTACCTAGCTGGATTTCTAAGTGCTCTTACCAATAATTTCGATGCTAGCTCGTCCATTATGATCCTGGTCACGGATCTGGTTTGCAACTGTGATCGCCTTCAGACGCTCCACACTCTTAGCCTTCTCTCCCACGTAAACATAAATGTCATGGTTGATGTCCAGGATGAAACAGTCGCCTTTGTTCAAGGAGTCGGCAGAAGCATCCACCTGATTGGAGAAAAGAATGACGTTAACAGGAGACGAAGCATAGGTAGACCCGCCACAAGGTGACGACCTGGTGAAGGTAGCAGGAAGCCGTCGGATGCGGTCAGTGCAGGATCGGTTGTCGTAGGAAACATTTGGGCGAGCGAGCTTTCGAGATTTTTCAGGTATTTTTGTGTGACCCGAAAGCCATTTGCTCTAGATATAAATTAGTGTCTGTAGCTTAATGGCTAGAATTTGCTTTTTACCTGGCGAACCCTGACATTCCTCTTCCCCTTGATCTGGAACAGTCTTCTTTCTGATCCCTCGTTGGTGGTAACGTGACTGAAACCGGAAGCGTGACCACCGTCCAGATACCTGATAGCTAGAAGCAAATGGTTGAACCTTAGACCCGATAACCATATACTCGTAAGATAGAAATTAACCGTAAAACAAACCGACTTCAAACAATACTAACAAACACGGTTGATTTGCTGTCATTTTTTGAAGAATTCCTTTGTCTGTCTCTGAAACCCATCATCAGAATTATATGAAATTTAAATGGGGCCATTTTGAAATAAACCCCTTTCGAACAAAAAAGAATTTTGAAAATCCGTCTATATATGACGAAGTTATGACCGAATATACATAAAAAAAATATATAAACATCCGAATTGATTTGGAGTCGGTTAAAAATGATATGTCACAGTTCGTTGCCACCCTTTAGGTACCTTCCCCCCACCCAGTACCATGAAAGGGGGAGGGTTTGTAAAGTCACTTTACGGTCATTAGTAAGGCTGTGGCATCTCTTAAGTCGAGCCTAAATATCTACTACCCAAATCGTAAACCAAACATTTAATGTTCCTGTTACATCAGTAGACTTATCACCTGGTTCAAAGTAGCTCAGGAAATCCTTAGACTCGTAACCCTGAACTTCACGATGCTGTATAGCACGTCCTTGGAACTGCTGATCATCCAGGTTGACTGTGAGCATGGCGGCGGAACCGGCTTCGTCCACCGAGGTCTTAGAGCCGAGCCAGAAGTGGATGTCCCAGGATAAGTGGTTTTCATTTCCAGTTGTCTAGAGCAAGCAAAGAGATTAGGTATAATAATAATATTTTTAATTAAAACTAAAAGACTTTAAGAACTTCTATTTTGCCACAATCAAGAGAGTTATTTTTGTTTTCAAATATAAAAGAACCAAACAGCAAGTGTACCTACCCTCCAGATATAATATAGAATTTTCCAAGCGCAAAAAATATTACAAAGAAACTCCTCTTTTATTGAAGTTGATGAGAAACCCAATATTTTAGTAAAGATGATGATTTTTTTAGTAAAGATGACATGGATACAATACAAAAAAAAAAGCGGCGGTAGCCTAGTGGTTAAGGCGTTGGACTTGCGATCAAGAGGTCATGGGTTCAAATCCTGACCAGTACACTACTGACGTGAACCCACTTCTAACAAAGCAATTCAGCTTGGCGGGAGGGGTTAACGGGAATACTAGTAATTTCGGTTGCTAGTAAAAAATAAAAAAAAAACTGATAAAAACTTATAAATATTGTTCCCGGAAATTTATCAACAATGTCATTACTAATACATAACCTCACACACGGCCGTCTGATCCCAAACTAGGCAGAGCCTGTACTATGGTAACCAGACTGCTGATAAACATACTTACAGTACACCTAGACACATAACAATTGATCATGCTCATCCCACAATTGTTGGTCCTGGATAGCAATCGAATCCACGACCTTAGCAGTCAAGGTTATACTTACTTTAAGTACGATGTAGGAATCCCCCGTGAAGAACTTTCCATGATGAGAAGATGGAACTGGTACGGGTTCAAAGTCCTACAACAAAAAGATAAGTGTAAGAACCAGTGGTGGAAGATTCTAGAAGGAAGGACGAAATATATTCATAACTAAGTTTAACGGTGAAACCATGCTTCGCCACATGTGGGCCGACCAGGGTAATACCATGAGCTCAGAGAAGACCGCTAGTAAGCAATACTTTCTCTCCCTCTTTGGAGGGGGGGAGGCACTTGGCGCTAGTTCCTTACCATCAGGTGACCCGTTTGCATATAGCATGTCTATCCCACTGTAAAGTGATCATGGTAATTCCTGTCATCATCATCAACAGCCTGGACATAAGCCTCTCCTTAGAAAGGAGATTTTGGTCTACTATACCACGTTGGCCAGACGAGTTGGTATAGGGTTTGTTTCAAGTTTTCCTTCTCTTTACAGTGTTGTTGTCCTGCGTAGTTTGCTCCATTAGTCGACTCTTACGACACCCACGGAATTAATCCTGTACATTAACATGATTATTATTTTCTATTTTTATCTACATTTATAAAATAAATAATGGTTCATACAAGTTTTTTTGCATATCAATGTAATTATTTTTACATTTTTTATATTTATTAGTTAGGTTTTTAATTAATGAACACAATTATTAACAAAGAGAAACATTAAAACACGGAAATAATGATTTACCTAACTAGATAACGTTTTTGATTTACTAGCTGTTGATAGCGTTTGTGCAAAAATAATTAGTACGCCCTTTGTTTTACCTTGTAAGTTCCCAACCAATGTATATTCTATACTCAGATCAAATAAAAAGCCAAGATGGAGCTTTGCGAAGAACGAAATGTGAGCCGGTTTATAATTTTATGTTAGTGAAAATATTAGTTTATTTTTACTTCTAAATATTGTAATATCGTTTCGACTGACAAAGCGTAGTTTTGTCATACGTGTGTGCGTGTAATTGTGTGTGTACACGTCAAGGCGCAGTTTTAATTGGCCTCACTTCTTTGGTCACAGAGTACCATCTTAACTTTTCTATTTGATATGAAATTCTATATTCATACGTGAAGAAAATCTTTTGTACACCGTTTCTAAACAAATATACTAAAGCATAGCATATTAAGAATACCTAATCTTTATATTCTAGAAGCGCACAAAGCTAAAATTGGGAAACAAATTTGTGCTATAAAGTTCAAAATTATGTAAAAATGGTTGCATTAGCTCTCCCAGTATAAGTTCAAAGTTGACTTGATGCTTATTTTTTAAATCATAAACTTTTAATAATCGACATTTCAGTATCTAACAGATGCCAAATGCTAAAACCCAAAATACATCAACTGTTCAATCACCATGTTTTAGGGCTCTGTAGACAAATGGAAAAACGGACCCCTTAGGCCCGGCGCCTACACAAAGCAACGTCAAGGTACACCTCGGCATACCTTAGCAGACTTCGGCAGCGTGAGGCATTCCTAAGGACGCTTCGGTGTATACAGGAATCTTCGGAAGCCAAAGCAAACCTAAAGACGTCGAAGCGACCCTGAGTTAGCAGGTTTCGGCAGTCTTCGGGACACCGAGTCAAAACCATTTGCTTAAACACACTGTCACTGATCGCACGTGGGAAGGTGCATAGTTTTGCAAATACGACTGTTCGCTTGCAACATTATCATTGTTCGAAATTAAGCTAGGGACCAGGCAGTTGCGGTGGCATTCCTAGGCAGACTTCAGAATGCCTGAGAACTCTTCAGCATTCCTATAAACACACCTGGGCATGCCTGAGTACTCCTCGGTATTCTTAAGCACACCTCGCAATGCGTGAGGTCTCCTTGGCAATAATTGGCGTCAGTATGCATCTGCGCGTATGCATGCCGAAGGCTCCCTTGCCACGTCGTGCCGATAGTGGTCGCCGGCCTTTATAGTTTAATGTTTGAATTAGGTATTCATTTCTAAGATATTAAGCCTTTAAGCGCTGATTTTCGTCACAGTCAAGCCAACCTTTCTAGCCAAACCACAGTATTTGCAGAGTTGAAAAAAATCACGGTAGTAGCATATATAACGAATTTAAAATAAAAACTCATAGGCCGCCCAATAATATGAAATAACTACGGAACCTCACATCGGACGTGGCTCGACACGCACTTGTCCTTTTTTTTATTCTGTTTTTTCAGAAACGAACAATCTAGAAGGCTGTTAACCAAGTCAAATGAGTACACAGTAAAACGGTAATTTTACTTTTTATTTTCAATTCGCATTCTTTGATTAATGAATGCGATAAAAGCTGTTTGTCTTAGAGCCAAGAACAACAGATGCATAACAAACATATGTATTCATAAGATAACCATAGACAATAGACTACTTGATCAACCTCCTTGGACTTGGGATTACAAGTAAACAGACGTCATCTGTGGTATATTATTTGGCGGGTATTTTAAATACTTTCAGTTGTTTTTAGACCAACGATCTCATTTATAAAGTTTGATATATATTTTCTTACTAGAGAAATCGTCTAGCTATCGAATTGCAACCCTATTAATTATTAATTTAGTAAGTTTTATTTCTCATTATTCAATTTAACTTCAACTGTCATTGTATAGACTACTAGCTTGTGCCCGCGATTTCGCCAGCGTGTATGTCAGTCATCGCGGTAAAACGTATCTTAACTCCTTTCGTAAGAATCAATCTATCTCCATATCAAATTTCATCTAAATCGGTTCAGCAGTTATTGATTCAACCCCTTTACAATATAATTTCTGGGATAAAACTTATCTTAATTTTTTTCATTTTTACCTTTAACCTGCTTCAAATTTTGTTTTTATCTATTTTTAACCGACTTTACAAAGGAGGAGGTTATCAATTCGGATGTTTTTTTTATGTATGTTCTGGCATAACTCATATATAGACGGCATATTTAGACGGATTTATAAAATTCTTTTTTGCCTAAGTCCACTAGGATACTCTGCTTAAATCCACTTGCATTTTTATCCACACCAACATTTCCAAACAGAAATTTTATCCATTTTGATCCCCAAGGGGATTAATTTGGAAGTTTTTGTAAACACAAATCCCCTAAATATTCATCATTTAAATTCGATTATAAATAAATGGCTTAATGGTGTGGAAGGAATTTTGACTTGTGTAGGATATATTTTTGTTATTAGGAAGTGTCGGCACTAGATATCGCCCCTTCTAAATCGCTCGTGTAAATTTACGTTTCCTGTTGTCCAAGTGATAAACAATATGATGATTGAGTACGAACGAATTTTATTTGTAACATTTTATGATATACAAATAATAATAATATATATCACACATCTCACACACGGCGATCTGATCCCAAACTAGGCAGAGCCTGTACTATGGTAACCAGACATCTGATAAACATACTTATATATTTTTAAATACATACATATTATAGATAAATTACACCCAGACACAGAACAAATGACCGTGCTGCTCACACAATATGTGTCATGGGTGGGAATCGAACCCACGATAATATTTATTAAAAAAAATTGATGTGCTTTCTGGAGAAAAAAGTAGAAGGAGGTCGATTTACTTTTACTAGATCGTTTGGTGTAAGACCACTGCCTCAAGGAAACTTCTATTAAGCGAAAGCCCAAACCAGGAGGGGTTTGGGCTTTCGCTGATTCTGGTGGGAGAACTCAAACCCTGGCAACGCACTTGTGACTTTTGAGTTCCAAGAGTCTAAGGGCGTTGATAGTCACTTACCATCACGTAACACGTCTTCTCATTAAACTATACTCGTAGATAACCAAACTAAAAAATAGAAAATAAATTTGAAAAAAGCGTTGGGTGCCTGTTGTCAATAGCAAAAAGCACCCCACGCTTTTTTTTCAAATTTATTTTCTATTTTTTAGTTTGGTTTTCTATAGAAAGCGTGTTTTTTTAGTTTTTTAAAACTTTTTTTTTTTTTAAATGAGTGTATTGTCATCGGTCCTCGATATATCTACAAAGTTTGAACGAATTCTGACCATTTAAAATCAGTCAAAATCACTCCCAAAGGAGTCAGTTACAAACATACAAGTGAAGCTAATATAAAGCGTGTAAAAAGGTGACTATTCTAACGCGCTCGGATTATTATTACCTCCCTTTTGATATGCATGTGCTACAAAATCTTTTTTATCTGTCCGGTGATAATTTATGTCGTGAGTTATATATAGGTTTATTATTGTCGGTACAAGAATAAACTTCCTATGGCTAGGTGGCGTGGTTAGGGTTGCCACGCAAAGCCGTGTACGCACGAACGAACATAACGTGGCGAATACGAACATCGACTACGAAACATTTGGTTCGTATGGAAGTGAATTAGCAAAGCGAATACGAACATTTTGCGAACATAGTTCTACTTGTGTTCATGCTCAACCCCTCAGTGAATTGACCATTGGAAGTGGTCAACAGTGAACAAACACACACACACACGTACATCAAACATATTGTAAGATCTTGCGAACAATAAGTTCGATGCTCGTGTTCACCATGATTTCATTCATTCGTTCATTTTCACGTTCATCGTTCGTTTTGTGCATTGCCGACATTAAATACTGCTTTAAACACTCATACATACTTTTATACGCTGATGATATGAAGGTTCATAAAGTTGTGCTAAGTGTATCTGACACATATGAACTGCAAGACGATCTCAAGAGATTTGAGACATATTGTAGACATAATAAACTTCAGCTTAACGTATCTAAATGTTTTCATGTAACCTTCACTTGCCAGAAATCTATAATAAGTACGGGTTATACAATTAGTAACCAGTTAATCAGCAAAGTATAAAGGATTTAGGAATTATACAAGATAGCAAACTTCTGTATGACCAGCACGTTAATGATATTGTTAAAAAGGCCTCAAAAGCACTTGGATTCATAATTAGAACAACAGCTTGCTTCAAATCTATTAAGCCAATTAAAGTTCTATATTGTTCATTCGTACGCAGCCACTTAGAATATGCATCTCAAGTTTGGAATCCCCAATATGATATTTATAAGTCACGAATTGAGGGTGTTCAGGTGAAATTTCTCCGATTT